AAATAAAGGTATTCTATTCTATTCTATTCTATGGGAAAAGTGTTGGCTGGTAAGCTTATGCCAACAAGCGCCTTTTCCATTAGAAATCCTTATAAAACATTCAATTTTATATCTAATGCCACTTCTCCTGTTTCGCTTATTATGAGCTGAAACTCCGTCTCCCTACTAATGTCAAGATGCTCTTTTCACTTCTGTTTTTTTTTATTCTCACAAAACTGCTCGTTTTATTCCCATCATAATTTACAACATTTATGCGCTTAATGCGCTTACAACAGTGGAATTTAGGGCTATAGTTACAATAATATAATTACAAGCTAAAATACAATGTACAATATAAAAAGATAAAGTTATATCAAAAATTATATATTAATTAATATTGAATAATAATATAGGTATATGAATAAAAACTCGAAGTTTAACAATTATATGCTTCCTTAAAAAGATATGTTTTCAACAAACTCCTGAAATGCGAGATGGTATTAGCTTTTCTTAATTCCTCTGGAATTGTATTCCAAAGTTTCGGGGCGGCTATGGGAAAAGCCCTATCACCATATGTTGATGTTGAACATCTGGGAACTGTTTTATAGCCCTTTCGAAGAAGACCTTAAAGTGCGTTTATGTTTATAAGGAAGTATGATATTCTCTAAGGCCCCGTCCACACGTATCCGCAAATTTTTGTATCCGCAAAATTTTTTTTACGGATACGGGTTGTGTGTGTACGTGTCCGCAAATTTTCGTGTCCGTATCCGCAAATTTTACGAAAACGGATACGTGTGGACGATGAAAACGATTCGAATACGCTGCGTGTGGACGCAAACATTTTCGTATCCGCAAAAAATAATTTGCGCATACAAAAACTTCCGGATACGTGTAGACGTGGCCTAAGTAAGAAGATGCACAACAATTATTAATCTTATAAATAAATAATAATATCTTGAATTTCATACGCTGCTGCACAGGCAGCCAGTGCAATTTATATACTGTACATAAATAATGCACATCACGGATGACCGCAATTACTGTTTAATTATCTATTCCTTGTTATATAGTTAAACTTTATTTGGAGTCAAATCGATGTACCACTTGTTTATAAGATAACACTAATAAGCATTACTTACTTCCTCAAGTAAAGTCACGCTATTTCGTTATCCAGAAAACAAAAGAATTCCCTGTATGATATTGATTTTATAGAGTGAAGGATACACTGATGCGCGAAAAATCGTCGTTACGAATCGTCTCGTGTAACCCCACTTCAAACAAATATATATCTATACTACCTCTAGGACCTCTGGCTCTATCGGTATCTTTGGAAGCTTAACAGCTTGTTTATTCTTCTTGAGATCCCCTAAGACTAAAGCGCAACAGGTAGCAATAAAAGCGGTTTTATTTATCGCAAAAAAACAAACAAAACAAATAACAAACAAAACAAAAAACAAAATAAAAACAAACAAAAAAAAAAAAAAAAACAAACAAAAGCAAAAAAAAAGCAAAACGCCGCTTTATGGCAATGACGCGATTGGTTAGTTGAGATCGAAAGCCATCACAATTCACCATGTAGTATGTCAAAAACTTTAGCTGAGTGGCAACCGTATGGTGTGCAAGATAATAGGCCTTTTGACTATTACCATGCTACATGCTTTACCCAAAAGATATACAGCACATAATAAGCATTAAAAATAGCATTGGAAAAAGTTAGGATCTTATTTATACTCTTTGGCAGCACTGGCCGCGATGAGCAGCTTCTTAGGAAAAAAGAACAGATGTTTTTTTATTTCTTTATTTAATTTTACTTCGTAGAACCCATCCATTGAAATTCTTTCATTTTCTACGTTTAATATTAATTTCACTGAGTTCTATAGTGGTTTTATTTTTTTATACCCAGGGGCTTTAGAAGCGCACACAAGCAGTCACTCGCGACTTTTTGGCTTGTGCGGCGATCGCGACTTATATACGAGATTGCAAACGCGCACGATAAACGCATCAATAAACTTGTTTGGAATCTCAAATTGTGTTCAAAACATGGTTGATAAAAGAACCCTTTTATCATCCATGTTTCAAACTTACGCCAAAACTCAACTGAAAGCTTTTTAGAACATGATAAAACGGGACGATAATTTAAGAAGTGCTGTGTTTTCTTTATCATCGTCATCAGCAGCATCAGCATCACCACCACCACCACCGTCATCATCATCATTATCATCATAGATAAGTTACACTTTACGACTTTGAGGGATAACCTAGGCTAAGTTGCTATCAATGTCTTTCGTAACATCTTATCGTCATTCCTTATCATTCTAGAGTGAAGTCACTAAACCCGTGAAATAGATATTAGACTAACACACTTTAGTAGACCCTAATTCCATTGTTTTCTTTTGTGTCTATTTGACTATTACACGTTGACTAAATTTTTATTTCACGGGTTAAATACCTTCGCTCTAACAATTACGCAATTCATTATTATTATTATCATCATTATTGTTATTGCGTTTTATAAAATATCTGTTATGAATGTCGCGTTCTGATTGGCTTGGAGCGTATGCTTTATGAGAGCACATTGCACGCGCGCGCACCTTCCGTTGCGTCATTCCTATTTAAAATAACGGTTATTGTAATTTGTATTTCATAAAAGAAATAAAAAACTTGCTTGCTGTGCTGTCTGCCGTTATAAAGCACTTGGGGATTGGCAGAACACTTGAGAAGTGTCCAGAAGCACTCCGCTACACGTCGTGCTTCTCCGAACACTTCTCTCGTGTTCTGCCAACCCCCGCGTGCTTTATGACTGCACACAGCACGCGCGCGCGTTTTCTATTTCTTCAAAAGGAATAGAATAGATTAACATATGAAAGAAGATTGGAATAACGTCTGACTCAGAAAAATCTGAGCCTCAGACTTATTGTATAAGAGATTGGCAAGTCTTTTCTTCTCTTTCTATAGTTTCAGTTTCATCTAGATTTCCTTGAAAGTGAATCAGCAAACCTTTACGTGTAACTGCTTTTAATTTGATCATGCTTTAAGGTTTTAAGAACTTTAATTTATGCAGAAAGAGGAAGGCTGAATGAATGCAGGTGATATTTGGAACAATTACTCATTCTTACTCATTCCTTGTAAGTGAAACTCTTGGGTCTCTACGTGTCTAGAACTTCAATAACCAAGTAAAATTTTCCATGACATGAACACCTAGTAGCAAGATTGGATAAAGAAATGATAAACAACACAGTCCCAATGAGTCTCTGCCTCGTGCATCTGATTTCAGCCAGACATTCCTGATGTACGCATCGTCCACGCGACAATTTTCCGTGCGGCCCCAAAATGTACCCATATCCAAAGGTTCTTTCTCTTGATCAGAATCATTTCTGTGTAATAATTCGCACAAATCACACAACCAATTGGTTGTCGTGACAGATGTATAATTTTTCTTCCACTCGAAGTATCTGTTATAGGCAGTGTCGTTGGAATCTAGATACTTGAGGTAACTGGCTAACGACTTGGCGTTTGGGAAGTCCAGAATGTCTATGTATGGGATAAGATTTTTATTGGTTTTATAGGGTTCTAGATAGGTGTCCCCAATTAGTTTATTTAAATAAGCTAGAACGACATGACACAGTAATAAAGTTTATTATTATTATTATTATTATTATGTACGAACCAGGAATTAAGACGTCTTTGTTGTAACTTCCTGCTACCAAAACTGGAACAACCTCGTGGGCTAAAGCATTCCTCCAATACTTTTCGGTTACATAGTCCCTGCAATTAAAATTTTCCAAAGCCAAGTAAAACTTGTACCTTCTAGCCATCTTGTCGCAGTCTCCACTGCCTCGAGTACAGCTGCCTTTGGGTTGGTGATCGAAATAGCGTTGACATTTGCCATAAACATCAACGTGGAGGTACTTGGAGATTTCTTTGACGACACTCAGTCTAAAGAACACACAATTACTGGCCAACCACAGAATCAATCGATCTTTTCCTGCAGTAAAGTTCTTCTTAGTAAACTCATTTTTATCGTTGCTCGTAATAGGGACGTAATATCCGTAACGATCGAGTACGTTTGAATCTGTACGATACGTTATAGTCCAATCAAACATATTGTTATAACTTTTGACTGAAAAGTACGTTTTCAATGGATTCTCTTGCCCATACCAAACCCACTTCTGTGCTTTAGGTTTTCTCCATAAAATCGAGTGCATCCTTTTCAAATTTGGCATGGCAGAAGTGTGGAAAACTACAGCATTACTTTTTGAGAAGTCTTGCCTTGAATAGGTAACATAGCAAGAAGATACTTTACATTTTCTACCGTAAGGATCCGTCAGTCGCTTTTCCTTGCCTCTAGCCTGAGGCCATGGCATACTTCTGAAGTACGGAGTATAGAATAGTATGATTTTATAACCACCTGTAACATTGCTCAAAGGCGCCATCAATGACATCCAAGATGGCTTCACCAAATCGAGTTTCTCTGCGAGGTAAAAGACTTGTTCTCTTGCAGCCTCGTAAACAAACAATATTGTAATAAAAGTTATTACAAGAAGAAGAACAAGCATCCATTTTAAGTACTTCAAGAAATTGCTCATTTGTTGAAGATTAAGGAATTTATAAACAAATGGATGAAAATGTGTGGCTCCCAGATCAAATGAATATGTGATGCTTGCTGATGCTTGCTGATGCTGGTTGACGGATAGTAGTTTCTGTCTTTCACGGCAAATTCGACCAAGCGGAAATTTGAGGCTTTACAGGATTGACGTGTAATACTACAGCTCTATTCAAAGTCCATTTGAATTGGTAACTAATGCCCAGGAGAATAATGGATAAATGTATAAAGAAATATGTGTCTTATTCCAATGCACTTGGCTTTAGTCGCTGTCACCCTAGTCTCCCCCGCATCCGTTTTTAGTGTCGGTCGTCACGCAACGCGTTGTGCGGCCTGAGCTGATATTTACCCTCAAGTCCTAGACAAAATCCTAGAGAATCCTAACGTATTTAGTACTATTACGCTCTAACTCCTTTGTTTTCTATTGTTTGAATCTGGCTTTTACTATTTAATAAGTAACTTTTGTTTCACGGGTTAATGAAAACCACTATACTACACTTTACGTTTGAGTGTCTGAACTCAGTTCAATAATACTGAGAGGATATCACACAATCTCTAAGTGCTAGGCATGCACCAGTCAAACAAGATTCTCAATAGACTATTGGGCATACAGGGCGCAATATAGAGCTAATGTTAGGCTCGATGATATATACCGTAAATCCTCTATTTAGCAAGCTAAAGCAAGCTAAAAAGAAATGTTCTGAACAACCAAGACTTTAAAAAATCACCTTTAATCAGTACACGTGATTCTTTAGTTGKGAAGGGGGSGGGGAGGGGGGCTAAAAAGAGAGGGAGGGGCTTAACAAATTTCTTCCTTTAAAAAGGGGCGGCTTATTAGAGAGGGGGGGCTTATTTGAGAGGGGGGGGGGGGGTAAATAGAGGATTTACGGTATTTTCCTTAAATATATTGCCTGTCATGATTACACACAACTGACTCCTTTTTTTTTTGCCTCCTGGACGCCCAATAATGCCTTGCGATCCAAGATGGCCGCCGTATCGTCGAAGTAGTCCGATATTGCCCATAATTCAATAGAAACTTTGAGCAATTTAGAGACAAAAGCATTTGGAGAACGCCGTTTTGAAATTCTGCCTGTAAATGTCGTTAAAAATGAGAAAAACAAAGAAGTTGTAAACCACGAACAAGTGAAACAAATAATTCGAAATAAAATTAATTTTCGCTAAAACGGAGCTAGATAAATTGTCGAGACCTCCTTCTACAAACAACACCCAAAAGGTTTTATCAACTACCGAGCTAAAGAAGAGAAAGATCATGATGAACAAATGCATTTTAAAATTTTTCTTGTTTTGTATTTCCCTTCTTCGTCGAATCAAATCTGACAGTCCCTGCAGGTAATGCTTATGGAGGGTGAACAGAGTCTTGATATAAATACCTGCCACAGCAAAGAACGGCATACCATTCGTCAATAGGATAAGAATGTAGAAATAATAATACTTCGGCAAGGAAACTTGATCATTCTCTAACCAGTCTTCAATACAGTAAAAGTGTTCGTTGTATTTGGCAAGATCGACGTTGTACAGAGTAGGCAGACATATGATCCCTGCAAAGATCCAAATCCCTGGAATGATGTACTTGAGTGTCGATCTGCTAAAGCGACCTCCTTTAAATGGATGAGCCACTGCGTAATAACGATCAATGGCAACAAAAAGACAACTGTAGACAGAAACAGCGAAACAGAGATCAACGTGAAAACATCCAAATTTACAAAGAATAGCCCCAGCTTTGCCGCCAATCGCCCATTTATAACTGTTAATCGCATAAACAGTTTGAACGGGGAGTTGTACCAAAGTTGCTAGAATATCACAGATAGCCACGTTGAAGGCCAAGATATTAACATTGGTTCTCAATCGTTTGTCTCTGTAAATTGCCGATAAGATAAGAATGTTTCCAGCCATGGAAATGACAAACAAAAGACAGTACGCCAATGCCTTTGATATTTTTTCTGTAAGTAATTCCGTATCAAACTCATAAAAAGTACCATTTTCAGCAATACTTTCTAACAGGATATCACTAAAGTCAATCGTGCTGTTCATTCCGGCTTCACTCTAGTCCTGGCTAAATTTCCGGCTCGTTGCAATTGTAAAACGGCAAGCTGGCGATAACTGCTCTTCTACTAGTCCGCTCTGTGTAAGTAATGTTGTGGTGCTATTCGTGGATGATATGGTATTGATTAGTACAGTACAACCCTCTGAACCATAGATTCAAGAAATATCSTCTTTTTTGACCGGATTAACAATGCTTTAGAAGAGATTAAGTAAAGATGTTTGACTCGAAACGATGACTGTTCATTTCCAAGCTCGCGCTTTGAATTAAATACTCAGCTGCTAGGCTGTAAACGGAAGGGTTTTAATTTCTATTTTGGATTCACCGATAGAAGTACAGCCAGCTGTTACACTAAGCTGCAGATACCAATCATATATATGGAAATTTGCTTTCACTTCCCGTTATGGGAGAAAGTTTTTGATGCGTTTACTCTATACTAGTCTCTGACATAAGTTAGTATTTTAGACCTCACTGAGATTCTTGGACCAGTCTTTTACTCCTCAGTCATGCTTTGAGGGTTTTCTCCGGTTTTCTTCCCCCCTTCTCCCTTGCCCCCAAAACATTCCGTTTTTATTGGGCGCCTTAATCATGCTGAGTAACTATTAGTTCGCATTATGACTGACGTAAGTTTATACTCTAGTTTAGAGTTCTCTGTTGGAGGCTGTCTATGGTCTGAAGAATTAAAACGAGCCCACGCCTGAAGTGGTGCGATGCGGCACGCAAGCAGCTTTACCCGCACTTCCCACACACCAACTAAAAATAACATATATAACGGCGGCCTACTGACAAGTCTGAATGATAGTTGTCTTGTTTGGTTCGTCATAGCATCACCCCGCAGCCGTTATTAGTGTGTGGTTGAGACTAGACTCGTCACTGTACACAGGTTGTGTTTAAATACGTTCTTATTAAGCAACCTACTCCACAGGATTACAGGTGTACTCTAAATATCGAACTACGGCCTTCTAATAAAGGGAGGGGTGAGTGATGTAGCTAACTCCGTTCGTCCACAATAGCCACAACCAAGGCCGGAATCAGAAATAACCTGTAAACATTCACAGGTTTAAGTCGTCTTGAGTGAATGTCGGTCGCAATCATGCATAAAATCCTTTCCCCCCTATATTACTCTTTATGAACGGCTTCGGCAGATAACACGGCCTTGGTCTTGATAATTTACGATATCACGCTCAGCCTCAAACAATAATTAAATCTTCTTATATTTATATCAGCTTTAAGATATATTCTGCATTTCTTAAATTAATATTCGGTTTGTGGAGGGGAGGAAAGTAAAAGAGATACTACTTTTAAAAAAAGTTTCAGTCAGAATCCACTCACAAAAAAATGATAAGGAAACCGCACATATTATGCTACACTATGGGCTCATCGGAAGATGATGTCATTGCGTTCTATGATATATACCTAATTGAAAAAGCGTTGTCGGTTTCAAAAAAAGATCATACCATCAAAGCTAAGACCGAAGGGGAGCATGGGAAGACAAACAATTATGTTAATTTCATGCGTATTGCAGTTTTCCCTTCCTGTGCACAAATCATTCATCATGGCTTTGTCATGTTGATAATCTAGGTCGACCGACTTTGTTCTACTGTGCATTTTTACATGTCTATATGCAAATATAATACACATTTCGGAGTCTTAGCTTCGATGATATGACCTTCTCGAACCCGACTACGTTTTTTCAATTCGGTGATTAGGTGTATGCCCACTGAATGATGATTAGTCTAACCTTAAGATTGTTATAGTAAACAAAAAAACCTTTCGAAATGACGGAACAAAGGTATCAATTTCGGAAAACAGAGGAGACACAAAAACACCTCTAATTTTAAGAATGGCACTTTTTATGTTTTAATAAAGTTAATAATCACAAAAACCCAATTCAAATCGCGCGCAATTCAAAGGTCATATCATTACGATAATAAGAGAACCTGGCGCCTGCAGGACTACTTGGCTAATAATTGTAAGCTGTTCGTTATGTGAGAATAAATTCTCCTGGTGCTTCCTCGGATTGTCTTTATCACTTTCGCATCTCTTCTGACTAATTATTGTGAATTTTTTTTTCCCGTAACTCTTCTGCTAACTTTGATATCGTCCCGTAAGAAGTAAAGGCTTCCTGGACAGACTCAGACGGGCCTGAGAAGAGAAGGACAGAATAAAAGTCAAAGAATTAGACAAAACTCTAACATCTGCTTTTTTCCGTGCTTATACTATAGTTAATTTAAATAATACGACATCTATTTATAGAGTAATCATAGGGAGACGTCCATCGTGTATAGCAACTGCGAGGATTTTGTGAAAAATGGCAGAAAAGAGCTCTGCAAGGTCTATATATATATCTGCGAACTTCCAACATCAATGAAAACCATCAAACCCATTACTAACTATAGTAGGGAAATAGTGCGAGATCATTTAGAAAAAGACAGTGGTAGTAAAAATGAACGGGTTTGGTATGCAGGCGTAAAAACAAAGAAAAGGGGAGTAACCCCCCGTTGTAGAGCCTGCAGGAAGGAACAAAAGGAAGGAGAAGTCACTGTTTTTGTTGAAGGTTTATGTGTTCCTTTTGAACAAAACTTTGTAGTAGAGGCCATGTTTCATTTTTGTCCTAGTTTAAGTTGCTTAATGTTCCGAGTTGGACAAATCTCAATCCCCTTTTGGTGGTTTCTACCTCGAAGTGTTTTCTTATTAAAAGGCAATGATAATAAAAACTAAAATTTTCAATTCATTCAATTTTTTATTACCCCCGACATTTACCCGCGACCCGCGACATTTACCCGCGACCCGCAACCCGCGAAAATTAGTGACTCCCCTGAACGATGGCACTGTGAGGTGCTTGAACGTAAGTTGTATCTGTTGGATTCTTTAACTTCAATAAGGTCTCTTATGTACTCCGGGTCAACACCATGAGTAGCTTTAAATGTGATCATCAGTATCTTAAAGTTCACACGATAACGAACAGGTAGCCAGTGCAGCTCACGAAGAAGCGGTGTGATGTGGCAAGATTTGGAGACTTTATAGATAAGTCTCGCAGCACAGTTCATTACTTTTTGTAGCTTGTTTAGTTGACAATCAGGAAGGCCATATAGCAGAGCATTACAATGATCAACCCTGCTGGTAATAAATGCAAGTTGTTTTGTGGATTCAGCAGATAGATATTGTAAAGATGGTAAAACCATATGGCACTAACAAAGATCTTATGTGCGATGACATGGACAGCTGCGAATCAAACCATGCACCGGCCCATGTTGCGTACAGATGAAACAGGTACAACATCAGACGAGCCAACAGCAATGCTGTCAATGATCACTTTATTAAGTTGTGGATTGGTACCGAGTAATTTATCTGTCAACATCCACTTTCTCAATAGCAATTAATTAGTTCTTTATTAGTAACATAAGCAATAAACTATTATTATTTTAATATTATCTGTGAACATAGTAATTTGAATAACGATTCAATCAATCAATCAATCATCCTTTATTTAAACACGATAATACCAACAGAAAAAACTGATTTACATGACAGTAATAATAATAAATAATAATAATAACAACTTTATTAGACAGGGTAACACCGTTACCATAAATGATAATTTTCAGGTGGCCCT